CTGAGTTGCTTTCCTACCTACAAACCCTCACTTCAAAGCAAGGAACATAATGTACAATTTTTTAATGGCTCTAGACCCAGGCACTCAGACTCTGCTCCGCGCCTTACCTCAGTGTAAACACCTAATCAAGATTGCCTGCGCTTCAACAATAGCAGCCAAATGCAATTCGAGAACCACAAGGCTTTGAAGTCCTCCCTGCAAAGGCCGGTTTTCTAGTCTGGGATAATGACATGCCATGATTGCTGTCTTTGTTGTATCTTTTCAGTAGAGAAGCAATTATAGGCCCCAATTTAACAGAATAGACATTACACAGCTTATGATGCTCAAAATGCAATTTCATTTGATCATTTTCTCGATTTGATTGGTATTAATAGAATGGTTCACCAAAAAAAAAAAAAAAAAATAGCTGGCAGGGGTTGTGTCCCACTCCACTTTCAAAGGGATAATGTAGAAGTATGCTCTACTTACCCAGCAAGCTCGCCAGGGTGAGTCAGCCCAGTTCCTCCAAAGTAGCATATGGATGGAAACATTGGGCATCCTTCACTCTCTGGTGGACAAAGCAGTGGACACTATATTTTTAATTCATAAAGTTTATGTCAAAACTACATAAGTGATCCATACTGCGATCGATGGAAAAATTAACATCACCGATGGTAAACCAAGCCAAAAAATAAGGAAAGTGCAGCTCCTGTATTCTACTTTGCATTTGTAAAGTCAGGGACTCTACCTCCAGTCACAGTTTGACTTCTCTCCTGCCTCCAAAGACTTAACCCCTTTGAGGTTAAAGACTGGCCCCTTGCCTGCTCAGGCAGCCCAGTGAGAAATGTTTTATGCCCTTGACCTTCAGACTTCCTCCAGTACAGAGTTGATTTTTTTTTTTAAGTGAGTCATGTTTCTGTTTCTGTTTAACATCAAACATTTGCAAGAGCCATGCATGGAACCCCAGCACTCAAGAGGCTTGAGGCAGCAGGATCGAGGCCAACCTGAGTTGCTACATGCAAGATCTGTCTCAAAAATGAAATAAAATAAACAACACACACACAAACCCTTTCCAATTATGCCAGTAAATGTTGCGAAACCCAGTATTTTGTGAATGTAGGGTGCTTCTGGGAGCAGCATCCTCAGAGGAGCCCACATGTAAATTTGGGAAATGGTTCTTGGCTTTTAGCGGGACAGAACTGGCGGTTGTGGCTGTAGACTTTACACTCTTCACTATGCCCGGTTTTCAGATTTGTAGAGACTAATCATTCACAACCTGGTGCTTATTTCTACTTACAAATGAAGAATTCCATGATCAAACAGTCTACCTTTACTTTATTCTCTCTCTCTCTCTCTCTCTCTCTCTCTCTCTCTCTCTCTCTCTCTCTGAGATGTGTGAGTGCTGGGCCACATGCATGCCACAGCAAGTGTGTGAGTGTGTGAGTGTGTGAAGGTCAGAGGAGAACTTTGTAGAGTTGTCTTCTTCCACCTTTACATGGGTTTCGGGAATTGAACTCAGGTTTGTCAGGCTTGCATGGCAAGGACTCTACTGACTGAGCCATCTCAGTGGCTCCAGATAAACCTTTGAGTATGTAAGATTCCATACTGGCTACCCGCCTTACTTGGTTTTTGTTTGTTTTGAGTGAGTGTGTGTGTGTGCGCGTGTGTGTGTGTGCGCGCACGCACGTGTGCGTGTGTGCAGTAACTGTGATGGTTATTCCAATGGACTTAGTAATGACAAGTCAGGAACATATAAGGTTAAACTCAAAATAAAGGAAACATGTTATCTTAGGGGAGCACACTGAATGGTAATGACTGAGGTTCTTTTGACTGTCAAGTTTTTACTTAGCCAATTAACACTCAACAAGTACATTTAATTCTTTCAGTATTAAACACTAGGCTTCACAAATCACACAAGCAACAGAGGGAGAATTTGAACCCAAGTGTGAAAGAGCCAGACCCTACATTCATTCAGTCTTGAACCTGGCCACCCCACCCTCTGCAGCCCACCACAGAAAATTTAACAAAATAAGTGCAAAGTCCTTCTACATTTTAAAACTAATTGCATCCATTCAGAATGGGAGAGTCATGACATTTGACAGGTAGGGAACCAGACAGTAACCACCAACCTGAGCAACGTGTCACAGGGAATGGCTGAGAAATCTTGAGACAGAAAAGTTAAGTTCTCTAAGGAAAAGGAGATACTTCTAAGTCTGTTGCTACCAGCATAAGGACGTTATCTGAAAAGGGGTTTACCCACCTTATTCCACAAGCAGAAGGGCAGAAATATGGAAAAATCATTTCTGTTCCTGTTGGAGCTTTCTGACATTAAGGCTGTGCTGTGATGGATGCTATATTCATTAAGTGCAAAACAGATCTTTTCTCCTCCTTAACCCAAGGAAGACCCTTACACATATCCTGCTCCTGACAAAGGCCACCCACCAGGAGAAAGGTCAGGTATGCAGCCAGAGTGGATGGATGAATGTCCACCAGCATCAGTATGGACATCCCAGATGTTGGAATGGGTTATCTTCAGGACCTTTTCCCACATGGCTACAGTTTTGTATAGCTCAGACACATGTTACTTGATATAAAATAAGCAGTGAATGAAGAGCTGTGTTAGTTGCTTTGCATAATTGTGACCAAAATATTTGAGAGAGCAACATGATCTTTTATTTTGGTTCATGGTTTCAAAGTGTTCACTCTGTGGTTATTTTGGCTCCATTGATTCTGGGTTGATAATGAGGCAGAATATCATGGCAGCAGCATGTAGAGGGAGAGGCTGTTCATTTCATGACAGCCAGGAAGCAAAGACTAAGGAAGGGACTAAAGACCAGGTGTAGCCTCCAAAGGCATACCCTGAGTGACCTACATTCTCCAACCATGATCCCACCTCCTAAAGTTTCCACCACCTCTCACTCCCCTTGCCTCAGCCTTGCAAGTGATGGATGATACCACCACCATGCCTGGCTATGAAATGGGCTTTGTCCCCCAGTGCCTGGAATGGACTCCCTCTCTTGAGGATGTTTACCAGGGAGCCCACAGACCCTCAAACAATACTGACCATTGTCCCTACTCTTGGTTACCCACCAGAACTCTAGTAAAGCCCTATTGTTGAAGACATTACATACATGAGCTGTCAAACAAACAAGGAGAAATCAAGCTGGTACTGACCTCAAAGCTTCATCTCTACTGGCTAGCTTTCATAGTGCCAGAAGGTGCTATACTTCAGAAGATAAAAGTAATCATCAACCTTGCCCAGCTGTGAATCCTATTAGCTACAATAACAACTAGCCTGGCAAGATATGTCCACTGGTGCAGTACTGGCACAAATATGATGGAACTAACCAAACACTTTCTGCTTAGATTTAAGGGTCATTTCACAAGATGGAGTCCACACCTGATGCTGATATCAGGCCTAGGAAACTGTGACTTGACAGATCATAGGCCATAGGGGAGAACCTACTACTATTATTCTATTGAATGGAAAAGTAAACTGGCTCCTAATGACATATTGTTATACCCATAGATTAGTACAACTCTCAGCTCTCACCAGAGAAGCTACCTCATACACCAGATGACCCACAACTGGTCAGTGGGCAGAGAATGAGACTGTATGGTGCTTATCCCTGAATAGGACACCTATATCAAACTTCTGTCTGCCAAGGCTCAGTGATCATTGTAGAAGAGGGGGCAGAAAGATTGTAAGAGACAGATGTGGTGGATGACCACAAGGAAAGAGAGTTTTCCAGACACCTGGGCAGTTACTCATATGAACTCACAGCAATTGTGTCAGCATGCACAAGACCTCCGTAAGCTCAAGCTGGACAAAATCCAAGACAGAGGTGGGGAAGTGGGTAAGACGTCCAACCCTAGCTGAGGACTGTTGGAAACTGATAGCTACTGAGAAAGGGAGAGACAGTTTTCGTTAAGGGTGTGACACTGGGTTGGTTAACCAAGATCCAGTGGATGGACCCAACTGAAGGACATTTGTCATTTGTGGACACAAGTTAGACTCAATGGGCTTCTATATGTATATGTATAAATAGAGTACATGGAGTCAGGTGTGGGGTACTAAGGGGGTATGCAGATTGGGGACAAAGTCTGAATATGATCAAATTTTCAAAAATTCAATAAAATATTTTAAATGGGCTATGTCAGATGATTTTGCTCAACTGTGTGAGCACATTTAAAGTAAGCTAGGCTAGCTGTCATATTGGGTAGGTTAGGTATATTAAATGCATTATTTGACTTATAATGGGATTATTGGGGCCCCATTGTAAGTCAAAAAGCACAGGTATGATGTCATTTATCGTGACTCTTCTGCCAAGATCAAATGTTACCTGCTGTAGCCTGTTCAAATAACTGTTCTGAAGTTAGGTCTCCTGACTATGTATGGGACATTTAAATAAGGAGTACTTAGACCTAAACACATCAATTTTCTTCTCATACCTGCAATAGGAAATGTTTATTCCTATCTTCCTTGGGAGCAATCTAGGTCCTGGTAATGATTTTGAGCTCAAATATTTGAGCTCATGTATTGGTCCCTATCTGATGGTGTTATTGGGGGAATGATGGGACTTTCAGGCACTGGGGACTAGCTAGAGTAAGTAGGTCATAAGGGTTTCCCCTTGAAGAGTATATTGGGACACCAGCCCCTTCCTCTGTGTCCTTTGCTTCTTGTCTGCTGGAAGGTAAGCAACTTTGCTCCCACTGTAATAGTCTGCCTCACCCCAGGCCCCAGAGCAATAGAGCTAAGTGATCATGGGCTTAGCCCTCTGCAACCATGCACCAAAATAGATGCTCCTCCTTTTAGATAGCTTATCTTCTATCACAGTGATAGAAAGTTGACTGACATCATCCCTGAGGACTAAAGCAATGGACCCTTGAGATAAACTGAACAGAAAACCTGCTTTTGCCAGATCTCTTTGTAGAGAACACAGACTTGAGCGAATGAACATGAAGGAAATCTGCTTAGTGTGCAATACACACTTCACATGCTATGTGTTTTACTCTCCTAGATCGCCTACCCCACCAAAGTAACTGGCAAGATGACTGCCCAGAATGACAGAGAGGTGGAAAATGTGGCCATGGATCCTGAGGACAAGTGGCATCAGAGGGCACAACAGCTCAAGGTTACCTGCTAGACTGCATGTTAAGTGTGCTTCAAGTGATACTGCTACATATAAGTAATGTTTGTCACTGAGGTCTTGTCATTTAAGGGCTGATTTTTGTTGTTGTTATTGTTTTCATTTGGTTGGTTGATTTTTGTTTGGGGAGCTTTGGACAAAACCTTGTACCTCATGTATGCTATGCAAACATTCTACCACCGAGCTACACCTCCAGCACAGATCCATAAAATTTATTTTTATTTATTTTTACGTGTATGTGTGCACGCACATGTACAAAAAGTGCAGGCACCCACAGAAGGCAGAAGTATCAGATCCCCCAGGAACTAGAGTTACAGGTAGCTGTAAGCCACCCCATGTGGTTCTGGGGAATTGAACTCTAGAAGAGTCTTAAGTGCTGAGCCATCTCTCCAGCCCCTTGAGAGTTGATTTTGTGTTTAGAATAGTTACCCAGCATCCTATGCTGATGACTGGCTTCTGCCCAGAGGAGCCATGACTTGAATGCTTGCTCAGCCAACAACCCTACCTGTTTTTCCAAAGGTCCTGTTTCCTAGACCATCATCATTTCACACGTCAAATGTATAGAGTCAAAACCTGTCACAGGAGGAAGGGATGGGAGACATGCAGGGGAAAAATCTGTTTCCTTTGGGAGTTGGCAGCTACCAGTATCCCTAGGACACTGTCCCTAAAGATAGATGGGAGTCCCCAGAGCCTCACTGAGCCTCGTTTACAGAATGAGCAAGCTTACCAACTGGTAATTTAGTATAATGACATCCTTTTGTCCATGGGTAATCATAAGTATAATTTGTGGCCTGGGGGTACTAAATTTGCGCCCATTATCTCTGAAAGAAATAGAAGGAAAAAAAAAAAAAAAACAGTAGTAGCTAGTCTTTTCCTAAGTAGGTGTATAGAGTTATATGAAATCATTCTTGGTACAGGGTCTATCCCTGCTTAAGAATGCACAAATCCTATGAAATCACCAAGCCTACAGAGCCTTGAATTCACATAGATCCACCTGTTTCCACCTCCAACTTGCTGGAATTAAAGGCTTGTACCAGTATGCCTGGCCTGAAACGTTTTTTTCTTAAAAGATTTTTTTTTTCAAAGCGTCCATAGATCCTCAGTAAATGTACCCCAACAACAAATAACTTGAACTAAGAATATATTTTTATGTGGAATTAAAATAATTTACACAACAGATGTCTGTTGAGTACCTCCTACCTTCCAGGCATCACAGGTTAGGTGTTTGGCCCAAGAGTTGAAGTTAGAAACCAGATGGCTGCATGTGGTAACACATACCTGTAATCTCAATACTTAGGAGACTAAGGCAAGGGGATTGACGGTTCAAGGTCAGTCTGGGCTGCAATATCCTGTCTCAAAGAACAAAACGAAACAAAAACAACTAACTAGCAACTATTTTAAAAACTCAACATAATAAACAAAACTGTGGAAATACTCCCCTTCCTTCTAAGCATTCAAAACTTAAGCAGGGAGGGTTAGTTATGTAATCACAAGAGTAGTAACATGGAAGTAGGTGTGAGATGCAGTGAAACTAAGGAACAGCTGCTTCTGTCCTGTGAGATTGGAGCATCCTCAGAAGAGGCGGAACCCAAGCTGACCCAGGAAGGATGAGCCATAGGGTACCAGGCAGACAAAGGGGCAAGAAAATATAGGTGTGGAAGAAAATATAGCAAGTACAGTATGTGCTGAGAATTAAATATATCAGTCACTAAAAGAAGAAAGACAAGGGATGGTGTGGGTGGGGCTGGACAGGCTAGATAGTGGCCTGATTAAGAAAGAATTCTTTAGGTCAGTCAAAAAGTTTTCAGAGCCAGGCATGATGGTGTACAATGCCTTTAATCCTAGCACTCAGGAGGCAGACACAGATGAATCTCAGTAAGACCCAGGCCAGCCTGGTCTATATAGCAAGTTCCAATTCAGCTGTGACTACAGGGAGACCCTGTCTCAAAAAGATGAAAAAAAATCTTTTTAGATTTTTGTCCTATGGAGAGAGAGGGAGCCATTGACAAATTCTGAGAAGATGAATGACATGATCAGACTTACCTGTTAGGATAATCATTTGGTCTATAGTCTAAGAGATCGGATGGAAGGGAATAAGATCAAAGAGAGAGCAAAACCAGTAAGGTGGCCTTTCTGTATGGTGGTAGGAAAATGAGATGTGGCCATGCTTTCTGACTTGGTCATCGACTCTACATACTGTTACCAGACTTCTCCACGTGCAATGGCTCTTACCCTACCCACTGAATCTTGCAAGTCAGGGCATCACCTCGTCCCCTCCCCCAGCCCTGTGCAATGATGATTAGGAGGTAGAATCAACTAACTTGGCTGTTACTTCAGTAGAAGAGGCAGGGGCTGAGGACTATTTCTGAGTGTCTGGTTAGCAGTACCAAGGCCACCAAGGGAGAGAGAAGGAGGGCTTCCGGTGCTGAGAGTGACAGGGAGAAAGGCAGGCCAGAAAAGGGCCTGGTGTCAAGTTTAAGATGCTACAGGAAGGAAGACATCTGACATGGAACTCAGGAGACGAATCTGGGTTGGCCGTGTGCACTTGCATCATGAGCCCTTCCTGATGGCCTGAAGCAGTAGAGGGTGCTGAGAGGACCGGAAAATTTGAAGGAACTTCCAAATAAAAAGGTAGAGAAAACAGCAGCATAGGTCTTAGCCACTGGGATAGTGGCCTGAGTAGAGCCATTCCCATGTGTGCTGGGAATGGACCCCATGCGTGCTGGGAATGGACCCCATGCTGCAGGGTACAGACATGGGAACAAGAGATAAGAATGGAGACCAGAGCACAGCCCTGCCAAAATGCTTGGCTGCGAGCTGAGAGATAGATAGGATTTAACTAGAGTGGGAATCTGTGAGGGCTCCATTCTTTTTTTTCTTTTCCAAAGGAAAGATGAAACACATACACATGCTGAAAAGAATGACAAACTAGAGATAGGACAAGGGAAAGCAGACAGCATGCCTGAGACAATTTAAGCCCCAGCACTTGCACTTTTAAAACCCTGGGGTTAAGGCTGAGAAGAATGCCCCACCCAGTATGGACAATCTTTTAACACTATGCAAGAAATAAACATTGCAAATGGATGTCATACATTTATACAATGAATTTCAGTCATTTTCACACACACACACACACACACACACACACACACACACACACCTATTCCCCTCATCCTCTTTCCTCTTCCTGTCACTGGAACCCTTCTCAACATGTCCCCTCCTGCCTCCTGTCTTCTTTTTGTGTATGGCTCACTTAGTGTAGGGTTTTCTGCTTGCAGGTAGGAGGTTATTTACTGGAGCAAGGGCAACTTACAAGTGGCTACACTCCTGAAAAAAAAATGACATTCCCTCCCCCAACAACCATAATTGCCAATAGTCCCTCAGGGAGGGGTCAGGTCTGGTAGTCCCTTCCCCCATCCATGATGAAATGTTAAGGGGCCAATCTTGTCCTGGCCTTGTGCAGCTAACCACAGCTGCACTGAGTTCATGAATGCAGTGACTGTGTCACATCCAGACATCTTTTTGCTGCACATGTCCCCCATCCTCTGGTTCTTAGGTCCTTTCTACCTCCTCTTACTCAGTGTTCCCTTAGTCTCCGAACATCGTCATTTTTATGAGAGATTTTTGAACGTGCCTAAGATCTTTACTTCATACTTAATCCTTCTTCCTTGAACTTTTCCCAGATCTTATTGACCTAAGTCCTTCTGTGCTCTCCTGTGAATCCTCACAGGCTTCATAAGTCCTATTTCAACGATGTGCCCAGACTGAATGCACAGGTTACTCAGGAGCCATGCAGGACAGTGTGAGGTAACACATCCCAGGCAGAAGACTCTATCCAAGTTTCCTAGTCTGCTTGAGCTACTTACTATAACCAACACCACAGATGAAGTGGCTTATAAATAGCAGAAATTATTTCTTACAGTTCTTGAGGCCAAAAACAATCCCAAATCAAGAGCTACTAGGTTTGGCATACAGTGAGAGCTTTCTTCCGGAAGCACAGGGTGAAGAGCTTCCTTGAACTTGTTTTGTAAGAGAACTCACTAATTCCATTCAGGAAGGCTCTCCCCTATGTCCTAGACACATCCTAAAAGACTCCACCTTTTAATACCATCACCTTGGAGGTTAAGATTTAGCATATAAATTTGGAGGGGAGACAAAAGCATTCAAACCATAGCTCCAGGTGAGGAGCGTATTGTCAATAGCAAAAATAGAGAATTCTTCAACCAAGTAAGCACTCCAAAGGATGGCATAGGATGCTTTCTTTCTTAACACTCTAGAGTAACTCTGGACTTTCCATCTGCTCCCCCTCCCCCCAAAAGGCTCATAGGGCCTTTCACTAATCAGAGTCCCTGTAACCAGCTCCTGAGTGATTTCTCCACCTTTCCAAAGATCTGTGGATTTGGTCTCACCTTCAACACCATCAACAGATCTATGTTGCTTCTAATCATTTGAATAGAGTTCTTCCATACTGACAATTCGAGATAGAGTTAGTACTATGCTTGAAGTTTTCTGAATAATATCAGATGGTATTGTCACCCAAGTTCATTCTTTGTTGTTAGTGAACACAGAAGAACAATGGAACAGAATAGAAATTTCTCCAGGTCAGAGGTGATCTTGGAGACCAGGTATAAAAGTCCCAGGACTCCAAAGCTGAGCCAGGGCAGCTAAGAGCAACAGTGGCCTTTATGTTAAAGTAGATGAGTGTCTGGCTAGGGTAAGAGTGTACGTCCTGCTTTCTGCTTATAACATGAGCAGGAGTGTCGTAAGACAGAAGTGGTCAGATGCTGCCTTTCACAGAGTTGGATGGCACAGTATGGATGAACATTGATGACTAGGGATGAGTCTCCCTATAGAATTGTCATCTCAGCTTTAGGCATCGAGATTTTCCAGCTCTGACACTCCACGTGGGACATTAAGCAGTTAGTCTGAGTGCATGGAGAGTAAACCAATTGCCAGCGTGGGTAACAAAAGAACCCCAGTGGGAGCCGGATGAAATAGAGGATTTCAGTGCTGATGGAGATTAAACAGCCTGAGAATGGCTTTGTATATTAACTTCAGGGAACTCAGGTCTCACCACCTAAAGAGTCACACCTGATGCCTCAATTGTAGCATAATAAATCTCCAGTAAGCGGCACAGCTCAAGTAGGCTACTTGGAAGGTGAGAGAAATCACATCAAGCCCATAAATTTCTTCCTTTCAGAAATGCCATCTCTGGGCACTTACCTGTGTATGAGTAACGGATTTAACACTCCAGACAATTGAAGTTTCATAAACCAATGAGTCCTTGGCCTTTGTTGACAGACCACCTGTGCCAAGGGCTGCTAGGATGAGTCAGCAGCAGAGGTGACAGCTTATCTAGAATCAAGTGACAACCTGGAATTTTGGACTGGTTCCTCCCAAAAGGAATTTCTCATGGGCTTGTTCTTTTTTTAGTGCTGATAAAGAGAGAAAACAGAGGAAATGTAAGTCAAGTAGCAGCAGAAAGGCTCCCTAGCCCCTTATTCCTCTAAGGATTGAAAGGTTGAAAAAATATTACAAAGAATGCCGTGATTGATCAGTATTAATTAGCATGTATAGATCATAGCAAAGAGAGGCTTGTTTGATCATCAGCAGTAAAGACAGCCATGAAAAGAGCTGTTGTGTTTTGGAAACACACCTGTAAGATTATAAAATAGCAATTTCTGGGCTAGCAAGATGGTTCAGCAGGTACCTGCCACCAAGTCTGATGACTTGAGTTTGATCTCCAGGACTCACATGGTAGAAGGAGACAACCAATTCCTCTGACCTCCATACACTCACTGTGGCACATGTGTGCACACACAAAATAAGTGATTAAAAATTTTAATAACAATATTTTTCTGAGTTCACTACAAGGAAGAATGCATTTGAGGTCATATATCAGCAAGACCTTTTTACTCATGTTCTGCCGTACAACTCAGTATACTGCATGGAAGAAAGAATGTCTCCTCTGATTATAGAAGAAAAGATTTGGGTTTCTTGTTGCTGTTGATGGGGTTTTGAGGGGAGGTTTGGAACACTGCAGGTGAAAAAGTAAAAGTTTATCGGAGTCAGTCAGAGCTCGGCCAGTCCCCTGAAAGCTCAAATTCCAAAGGAAACATGCTACAATTCAAATATAAGCAGTTCTTCACTTAAAAATCCAATATAGCAAACAATGCCGCATGTCACTGTTTTCAGTTTAACATTCTCAACCTTATCACTCTAATGTGATTTCATTAGGAACTAAACAACACTCATCATTATTCAAGAATATGATGAGTCTTACAGATTGTCTCAGAAAAGTGAAAAAAAAAGGCTAAAATCGTATCAGAATAATGCTTTCTTGCTTTGTTACAACTTTAAACAATCTGAACAAATGCATGCTTTACTTAGCTTGGGGAAGTTTTTTGCTTCCAATGATCTACCTAATTGATGTATTTTCAATTAACATTGCATATATATGGGCTATAAAGGGCTCATTTTATATTTGTGTCCAGAAAGGAATTAATACGTCACAGTTAAATAACACATGGATGCATATCATGGTCAGCTTACTGTTTCAATAAGCATTTAATCGTTCTTTCCAAAAGCCTCAGCTCAGCTAGCTTCTCACAAAGTAATAAGTGCTCTATTCCTTGGTAAATATTCCTAAATGGTTATACAGTAGAATATAGTGTATATAATAGATACATAATGTATCCATTATACCGCAAGTACATTTTGTTGTTATTGGACTTTGTAAAGCATAAAGACTGTTCTGAAATGAAAATCCTTTCCCCCAGATGTTTGATTGCCTAAGTACAGGCTATATTAAGGGGCAGTAAGCAAAACAATCCTTGTGGTTTCACAGATGTCTATTGCAGCCCTGACTCCTTTATAATCCTCTGAATAAGATCTAATTTGTTTCAGCTGGCAGAGAGGTCATTTCTGGTTTCTGACCTGTATGAGTAACCAGAGCTGATGGTCTGACTGTGTTTCATATTGAACTTCTACTTGGTTGGTAAAGCAAACCTCTGGTGTTTTCTGGATGGGAGTTTGAACTCTTCATCTAGTTAAAATAAACATGCATCTATTAATGTAGATTTATGTTTTCTTGGTGCTTCTCTTTGAAGGTTAGGCTTCCTCTCTGCCCCCACTCTTCATTTGGGGGTGGAGACATTTCCCTGCACAGCTTATAAGCCAAGGATTTGTCCTTAGTACAAAGACTTTCAATGTCTTTGGCGCTCATGATCTTAGCATTTCCTCAGTCATTCACCTTCCACTCCAAAATTAGGAAGGGACCCTCTGTAGTCTATCCTTTTCAGTCCCATGCTCACTTTCCTAGACATCGCAACTCCCAGTTTGAAAAAGCGTTCATTCAAAATTTATGAAGACTGCCCATCTTCTGATTGTACCTTAATCATAATGTCTTTTCAGAATTACCAGCAACACTGGTCTCAATATGAAGATTCAAAGTCAAACAATGTCCCAAGAGGTCAGTCTTCTGATGCAACCAACGGCCAGCAACTTTCTAGAAGACCAGCCAAGTCCAGGGTTCGGAAACAGCGTAAACAGCAGGATGGACTGAAGTCCCTTATAACCAAAGAGCTCCTTGTCAGTCAAAGAAATCAGCATAATGCTCTTCAACAGCAACAAAACCAAGCCCAGCCTATGGATGCCTCAGAAAAGCATAGGCCAGTTGCACATACAAACACTTCTAACAGCAATTTGCAAGTCTCCAGTACACTTACCCACAATCCGAAAGTAGCATCCAATATATTTGCCCAACCCACACAGATTTTTGACAAAGTATTATATAAAAACTCTATTGGACATGACTCGGGGCTAAATGTTCATAAAAGAAGAGGACACAGACAAAAAGAAGAGAAAAGATTTTCGTATCCGCAGCAACTGGTCTATACTCTTTCCGATATGGATTTGAACAGTCTTAATGAACTTTCTAACAGACAAGCATCTCTCAGTCAGAAAGACCCTCAGCATGATTACGATGTGAACACACACAGAGCAGCTAAAAACAAGAAGCAACTTAAACAGCCGCACGCAGAGATGAAATATAAAAACTTAGAAATTCTATGGTAAGGATTCCCTTTTCTTTTATTTAACTTTAAATTTTTTAAATTTATTTTTATTATTGCGTGTGTGTGTGTGTGTGTGTGTGTGTGTGTGCAGGCCATACACGGTGCATGGTGCAGAGGACAACTCTAGGATTCAAGGATTAAACTCAGGTCATTAAGCTTGCAAGCCAAGTGCTTTTACCCCCTGAACCATCTCACCAACCCAGAATTCCCTTCCAGAGTAGAAATAAAGAGCTCCTGGAGAGAGAGAAGGGGACAGAGGAGTCTCTGAGGTGATCAGATGAGAGGAAAAACTCAGCTTTACCTCCAGTTCCTGATAATTGTTGCTGTCTTTCTCTCCCTCTTCCCTCTCTTCTCCACTGTTTCTCTTGTATTTAAATTAGAAGTTGAAGTGAGGGCCTTTCTACTGACCAGCTTTCCTTTCCCAACCAAAACAAACCAGTGTGTTTGAAGAGATTCAAGTAATGTTTGGAGAAAAACAGTTACCTCCAGCCCTGTAAAGTAAGGAAATAATTTAAAATTCAGAAAGATATGTATGCATAAAGATATCATCTATAGAAATGACCTAAAAGTCTTTTTTTTTTAATTTTATGTGTGTGTGTGTGTGTGTGTGTGTGTGTGTGTGTGTGTATTGCTGCATGTATGCAAGTGCACCTGTGTCATGCAGTGCCCACGGAGGACAGAAGAGAGCATTGGATCCCCTGGAACTAGAATTACAGATAGTTGTTAGCCACCATGTGGGTGCTGGTATTCAAACCCAGGTCTTCTGCAAGAACAGCCAGTGCTCTTAACCACTGAGTCATCTCTCCAGCCCAGTGAACTAAAAGTCTTAACAGTGGGGTAATGCTTAGGTAAATTGTGATATTTAATACCCTATACCCATTAAAAATTATGTCTATAAGGAAATGTTGGTATAAAAAGAAGTTAATAAAGTACTAGATTATACCCAAGGAGTGTACACTGACCTTTGCCAACATGGGTACTGAGGGAACATATACCAAAACGTCAGTAATGGTTGTCTCCGACAAAAAGAATTGAGGTTATTTTTTAATATTTTATTTATTATTTTTATTTTTATGTGTATGCATGTATTGCCTGCATGTAGGTAAGTGTACCCGTGTCGTGCAATACCTGCGAAGGACAGAAGAGGCTTTCTGATCCCCTGGAACTGGAGTTACAGATGGTTGTTAGCTTCCATGTGGGTACTGAGATTCGAACCTGGGTCTTCTGCAAGAACAGTC